AGATTTTCCTTTATGGGTTGCGCTGCCAAGAAAAATGCTTAGTGAGCATTGGCCTTAATTAGTTGAGAAAAAATATGAGAGGAAAATGGTGGATGGCAGACGAATGATAAGAAAGCCTTTTATGGGATTGTTGGTCAAGAAACTAGATCAAAGGATGTGAACGACATTCTAAGAAAATACATCTTAAATGCAGATAGGATTTTCAAAAAGACCGATTTCTAAAATAATTTCAAATATTGTTTGTAATTAAATTATTTATTTATAGTTTAAATTTTGTTTAGTTCAAAGTATAACAATTTTTTTCTTTAGTTCCCTACTATCTCTTTATTAAAAAAAAAACCTTGTAGAAGACAAGTAAATATTCATGAATTGTTTTATAAATGTAAATTCCTTGCGGCATAAAAGAGGTTGAAGAGGCCTCAACTTCATTGTTATGACCTAAGCGAGACGACGAGTGCAACCTTTTTAATGAATTTAATTAAAATTCATTAGACAACGAAAATTTCTAAGGACATTTCGGTCATATGAGATGCCCAGAGACAAAAAACACAGACAGCGAGAGACCAGGAACAGGACACGTAGTCAGTGTTAGCCCAGGACAATTTGCGTAATGAGTGAGTGCATGGGGTCCGCACCTTTTCTCCCCTTCTGCATCCCTTATGTCTTCCATTTTGCAGCAGAGAACTGGAATTTTATTTTTCTGCAGTTGAAAGAGGAGCACACAACTTGGCTTGGGCCCAAGGGAAGTCTGGCTAAGATATTTCAGGACACCCAAAGGCATTCTGTGTGACACAACCACGCACAAACAAACAATAGCACACACGCAACCTAACAGGGTTTTAAAAAGTTTTCCCAGAAGCACCTATAACCTTATAACCTGCAATGTTTAGACAAATTTTCCGCATATTTTCTTAGCTCAAATAAAAAATTTGTTCGTGCGCCAAACTATTTTAGCGGAAATTACTTACAGGTCTGAAAAGGCTCAAAAGCCGAAGCTAAAAGTCTAACAGCCATGACAATAATTTTACTTAATGCTTACTTAAATCCCACGGAGAGGGGCTCGTGGCAAAGAGGGTTAACGGGGGCTGCCTTTGTGTCATAAAAGGTCTGAGGTTAAGCAGCCATAGGAGAGACTCTGCTTCACTTCACTTTTTTGAGTAATTAAAAAAAGAAACAAGACGCTGAAATTCGAATTAGGCAAAGCGCGACTTTTTAATACTTTAAATTCAAAAATAGCAAGAAAAGGATGTTATTAAATAACTGATACTAAATTATTTAAAAAGCAATACTTAGGTATAAACATATGGTAAGTAAAATCACTAAAATATGTCTGATCAAAAGTAACTACAAATTTCTACATAGACTTATTTCAAAATTTAGATAAATTAAAATCGGAATCAAAAATATTACGGCTTTTGTATTGGGTTTCTAATTTTGTAGTAGACTTTGAACAATACTGTATGCAAAAAGGAGGCACCATATGCAACCAGTTCTTTATAAAAATAATGAAATTGGCTTTTCCTAGATGTATAAATAGCTTATGATACTCCACAAATTTTTTACTAAAAGAAAAAAATGCCTTTCTTAGATTTTTATTTGCTTAAAATTGTACTTTAGTTTTAAATAAATATTTTACAATAATATGCATTTTACCAAAAACTTAAAAAAATAAAATAAAAGAGCAAACCTCGCTTCACGAATAGTTTCGTGTCACAGCCAACTTAACAAGAAAGAAAACGTTAGTTGCCCTGATCTTAGCCTTTTTAGACGTCAATTTTCTTGTTATATATACAATTTGTTTACCGTACTTTCAGTCCGATAGCTTGATAAACCAGCGCTTTAAAGAAGAGTATCAAAAGCAACGAACTGCTTGAAAGCGCAGACACATGCCAGGAAGCTATGCCAAACCATTGAAAAGAAAGCGCCCGACTGAGGGAAAGAACCAACTTTAGATAAAGAAGGGGGGGTTTTTTGCGATGCGACGGAAGGGGTTGGACTGCCTTTTCGGGGAGGTAAGGCCTATTAAAGCGTGTAATGGCGTGAAGCGGGCGTGTGCAGCGCCAAAACACAAGAAAAGGGGGTGGTGGTGGTGGTTGGTAGTAGAGTTGAAGGCGTTTGCAAGGCGAAAGGCTGCAATTAAAGGCAATTTGGGTGCCAAAAGGGGGGATAAAGTGGGTGTAAGGCCACTGAGCTAGTGCTTGGCCAACTGAGTGCGTTGTCCTTTCAGATAATATGCTCGCTGTGAGTTGTTGATGTTGTTGGTGTGGCTGTTGTGAGTGTAGTTGTTGTTGCTGCTGTCGCTTGTTGGCCAAGTTGCAGCAACAGCCGTTGCACTGAAATTGCATGTCAAAGACAGATTTACGAGCCAACCTCAACCCACACACAAAAACACACACAAACCCTCGCCGTGTGGGTTGGTATTTTATTTATGATAAGGACTTTGGGGTCATTTGGGTCGGCGAAAAGTTTGTGCGACTTCAGAGCAAAAAAAAAATAGAGGCAGGAGTAGCGAATAAAAAAGGTGCAGCCAGTCGAAGAAATAGGGAATGGGAAACCAGCAAACGAGATAATGAATAATGGTTTAATTAAGGTTCACTCTACAAAATACGTAATTAATTGGAGCTCTTTGCTTCATTTTCTGCCACTTCTTTACCCTCTCTTCCAGATAATAAACTAGGCCTGGCTACGACCTGTTTTCGTGGAAATCCTAAACTGTTTTTGAAGCAAATTGAAATACAATACCGCGCGGATGGTCATATTTTCTGTTTTGGCTTTTTGCCAACAGTTGATGGCAACCGGTGGGGATTCAAGACTTTTAGAAACTTGAAAATGCTCTATAAATGCAAATAGAAACTAGTGAAGGAAATGTATTACTCCTGCGCATCCTGTAAATAATAGTAAGGATCAATAAAACATGTTTAAATAATAATGGAAAAAATATACTTTGATTTTCGTTGGGCTACGTATAAGTTAATATTAAAAAAGAATTCACAAAACAATATAATTAGCTTTAATAAAAAACCTAAAATAATGAAGACAAAGTTTTAAGATGTATTCAAATTAATCATTATGTACAATAATATTTAGAAATCAGATAAACAAATGCCAAAATTAATTTCATTAGACTTAATTTGCACATGAAAGTTAAGTCTTCATTAAATCCCATGTAATAAATATGTTAAGCTTGACAATTTTTTCTTCGCATACCATTTCCCACAATTTAATAACGTACTTCAAAAAATTAAATAGCAAAATGCAAGCAAAGACATTAAGTATATACAACTGCACAGCGCGCAAAAAGCCAAAGTAGAAAAAAAAAGCATGGTGCAAGCAACTGTGGCATCTCCAATACAAAAGGCCCAAACAGAAGCCTAACTCCACCCCTCTCCCCACACACACACACACAACATATACTCACACTCACAGAAAGAAAAATAAAGCTGAAATGCACGTACAAATAGGCAAGAGATGAGAGAACGTGGCGGACAAGTTACAAATGTTTATGACAAACCAAACATCATAATAATGTGTAACAAGCAGTGCAGGCGACTGCCGCCCACTTCCACACCTCTTGCCAAGCCCAAAGAGCATAAAAATATTTCAGTTAGCATCCGGGCTGGCTGCTTTTCCCATTTTCCCCGCCGTCAAGCTGCCTCTTGTCAATTAAATGTCAACTGGCATAAATGTAGCATGCCGCTTGCTCTCAGCTGCCACATTAAAATTCCGCAGAGAAAAATGAAAATTAAATATAAAGAGAGAGAGCAAATTAAAAATCTCTCCAAAGAGTACTTTTTGCAATGAGTTTTTCACTCTTAGTTCAGTGGCTCGCAAACTGTAGGACTCACCACGACCTGAAAGTATGCAATCATTTGTTTAACAAGCACACAGTCCTCTCTCTTTTGTCCACCGTCTTTGTATTTTTCTGTCCTTTGTATGGGTATTTCTATGCGGGTGTGTGTGTGTGTGTGACATTGTTTTTGGATTGCAACCCAGAACTCGAGGTTCACGGCCCCGTTATGCAAATGTTGATAGTCCCCTTAACCACATTGCCCCCTCTCTCCACCGCCACACTGTCCGCTTCAAAAACATTCCCCTGACTGAGTTAGCAATTTTAAGTGGCCATCCACTGGTGTCTGTTGCTGTTTTCACTACAAAACTCATATGTCTCGCTTCCCGCCTCTCCCTTTTCCCCGCTTCTCCCACTTTTCCATTTTCTCCCCATATCTTTGCATGCATTTTGTCTCGCCCGGCGGAAATTTGTTTGCACCGAAGTGATTTCTGGGTTTGGGGGATTGAAAAGGAAATGGAACCGTGTTTCGCAGCCATCAGCAATCTGCAATCCCCTGGCAGCAGAGACACAACGGCTAACAAGGCCTAATGAAATTTCCATATGCGAGCCAATTTGCTGAACTCTGTCCAAAAATTAATCGAGATTCGAAAGACTATTTGACAAATGCTGCAGCAGTGGGCAAATTAAGTTAGACTAATTAAACGCTCAATCGAGTAAATTAAGTGAGATAAGTGTGGACAAGCCAACTATATAAAACTAAATGCATTTATGACTTATATAAAGTTAGCACCTATGGTGGAAATTTATATAAAAATATAACAAATTTCTAGATTTTTAAAATTTTGTTATATTCCGTTACAATCCTGCGCTCAGAAAACAAAGTTTCTTGATTTTAGCATGCCGTAATTTAGCTTTTCATGAATATTAAGGGCTTACATGATCTTAAATCATGTATAATTAAGGGCTCAACATTAAGGACATGCTTAGTCCGTGAATCCTTTTGCGTTTTCGATCCAAAATATATCAGAAATTTAATCACAATTTTACAATATTTGTACAGCATAGTTTTACGAATAAAAATAAATGTCTTAAAAATATAAATTCCAAAAGTAAAAGCCCCAATATCATATATATCCAAATTATAGATCATAGTAAAAGTCCCCAATACACACTATATTTTCATGGCCCCATAGTTTTCGGCAGGACTCACCTTTCTCCTGCAATTGCTGTCGTTTTACATCGCCTTTGAGCACTTCCGCTGTGTGAACCAATTCGTTGAGCTGTGGCTTTTTCATTTTCAATTCACGCAGTACTTTCTGTGAAGAGAAGGGGAGATATGAGAAATGGCTGAATAGGGGTGTGTGGACCAGGATGGGTGTGTTTTATTCGGCGCACCTCCTGCTTCTCGATGGCCAGTCGCACTGCATCGCCATCGTCGACGAGCACGCTCTGTATCTTGATCATGTTTTGTTCCCAAGTCAGCCAGTCGGAAATTTGCAGCACCGACTTATCGAAGCTGCCGGCCAATGCTCCAGTCCCGCTTGGCTCGTTATTGTATTCTGCAAAACACAAAATGGGACAAATTGAAATGGGTTTTTTAAAAGAGGCGGCGGGGAAAAAGACTTCTTGCTAATTAGCGTGTGCTTTTACCCAGACCCACAGGATTGTGTGTCACTGCCGGTGATAGGCCACTCATTAAACGGCACCAGCTGCGGTTTTGACTTTTCCTGACTGACCACTGCTTGGTGGCGTACTCATCGGGGTCACTGTTGATGCATATTGAATGCGAGACTTTATATTACGCCCCATTTTCATCTATCTATTTTTCTTTCTGACTGCTGTTTGACCCCACTCCACTCCTGACTTTGTTGCACATTTCAGCAAAAGGCAAGTAAATGAAAAACTATTTCAATGAAGCAAAAGTTTCGAGTGTCTTGGATGATGGATGCACAGTGGAGTAAACTTGAGGTATTTGTGACATAAACGTATTTGATACTCTCAATTTTATTCTTTATCTTAAGTTGAATGAAATACATTTTTAAAAATCCATTTTATCAACATTCAGAAACCTTATCAAACTATCATCACGAACTGATGTTAAAGCAATGACATTGAATAACAATGAACTAAGCGGAAAGAATGCAGTGAATAATCATATTATTATTGTAACCCCTCGATAAAAAGTTCGTTCGCCTGGCAATATTTTCTCAGCTTTGCCCTAACTTTCTGCTATTAAATGGCAATTTTCAATTGCAACCCATTCAGAGCAAACCATGGTGCAAATATTTCAAAACTTGAAAAAGCAAAGGGGAAACACTTGAAAAACTTGAGTGAAAAGAGTCGAAAGGAAAATGTAAGGAAAAGCTTAAGTAGGCGCAAAGCAAAGGAAGCGAAAGGAGACTAGGAAAAAGGAGCAGGTAAAAGGATGAGGAGGAGGAGAGGGAGTGGGAGTGGGAGAGGGAGGTCCTCCTGACAGTTATGAAAGTTTCTGCAGGCCTGAGTTTGCCAATAATCCGTGAAAACAAAACCAAAACAAGCTAAAACCGAAAGAGAAGGGACACATTGGGTTTTTTTCATCTTTTTTTCCTGCTTTGGATTGTAGTTTTCCCAGTGTCCCTCGCAGGATTAGGTTGGTCTGCAAGGACAGGGGATTTGGGCGACAAATGCCAAGTCCAAGGAGGACAGCTAAAACTGTAACTGTCCTGGCCACCAACGGGATACAGGACATGGGACGCGGAACGCAAGCCGTGTCAAGTTGAGGCGTCTGAAAGCATTTAGAGTGAGTGAGCGGCTGAATGAATAAGAGTTCCAAGCACACAAGAAGCTGTTAAGCAAATATATACACAGAGAACAATGGACACAAAGAAAGAAAAAAATTATCAATTTAAAAAAATTCAAGCTTTATAAAATATACAAACCAACTTTATTGATAGTTTTGTCTTAAGAGTATTAAATATTTATATGAATAATTTGCAAAGCTAAAAAAGAGTCAATTTATTTTGTACAAAGATTATTTACTGAGAGAGTAAAACGACATCCCAAAAAATTATATTTTTATTGAAATGTGCCACTTAAACTGTAAAATTTGCTTAAAAATTAATTGATTTTACAACTTTACGAAATCTAAATTATAATTCTTTAAAGTATTAATTGTTATTGTGATCAACTTTTCAAATTAGAAATTTTTTGCTAGCTTATATTTTATTTACAAATTTTATTAATCCTTTAAAGAAAACGATTTTTTCAGTGCATATATTTCCTGTTGGAATGGAATAAAAAACAGGAATCCAGAAAGGAATAATAACATCGCTGACAACCACACACATGGTCGGAAAACACGGTGAAGTAGCAGTGGAAACACGTTAAGTGTAAAATTTCTTTTCACTCGTTCTGATGAATGCTCCCGGTAGGCTCCACACACACACACACACAAACGCCTTTGGCGGGTGTTCTTTGTGCTGTGGCATTCACGAGCCAGGTGCAAAATGGTTGAAAATATCATATAAAATAAAATATAAATAAAACACACACAGAAAATGAAAAGCACTGATAACAGTCCCTCCATTTTTCTTCCTCTTCCACGCCCACTTCTACGGTTAAAAGTAAACGGGCTTTACCAGGAAAATGTCATAATTCATTAAAAGCCAAAGAAAGCGTGAAATTCTGGACTCGTTCTTTCCCATTCCTCCTTTCAGTTGTCACTCAACAGAGCCTCACTTCCTTCCTTTTTCATTATTTGGAGAAAGTCCAAAAATGACTTTAAGACAAACACAGTGACAACTTTGCGGAAAGGAAAGTCATTTTAAAGTTTTCATTTTAAGTGATGGATGACCTTGATGCGTTTTAATTTGTTGTTTATACTTTTGGGAAATTGTAACCGTTATTGTAAAATCACATTGTTATTTACCTTTAAGTTATTGGTTTCAACGCCATTAAATATTTTAGGAGTTTGTTTGTTTACTTCGGTTAACGACAGTCTTTAAATTCGGTTTGTTTACAGGGAAAGTTTTTAATTTAATATTTAAACGGTTACATTACGATTTAAGCTTTAAATGTTTTCGAAATTGTCCTTTGCTTTTAACTTCAAGTTAAAAGTATCACTAGGTTATTCTTCACTCCTTTTTTTAGGTATATATCCAATTATATTGTTACTATTGCTAACACAATTTTATTTTCACTTTAAAGAATTATTTACTTCCTTTCCGCTGAACGATTTGTTTTCAAATGTTTCCTTGTTTGCAACCAACAGCTGATTAAAACGGTCAAAAGGAAAAGCTACAAGGAACTTAAGGACGAGCGCATGGAAAGAGCTTCAGAAAAGCTTTACGTTCTAAATAACAAAACCTAAGCACATTTGTCTAGGTGCTTAGACAATAATTTATAATGTGGAAATTAATTTACATTACTCTAAGCACAAATCTATTTAAAATATAATAATGTCTTATTAAAATATAATTTTTAAGCTTATTAAATTATTTTAAATTTAAATAAGAAACTTGCTTTTTTTAACTAATTATTTTTGTTTGTACTGGCTTTTAGTAATTTGACAATGTTCTACATGATATCTACACGCTCATTGGTGCGACATCTATCGGAAAATAAAAATTATAAAATATCAACCAGCTTTTGTGCATAAGCATTGATCCAAAAATGGGATTTTAAATTGTACTTTACAAAATAATTTAATTAAAAAAAATAAAATTAAAACAATTCTATTGTATTTTAAATTTTATTTATATTATATTTTAATTTGCCCATCCTAGTCTTTTACTGTTTCCTGTCATTTTTTCGTAATTTTCACATGAAACAAAACTGGCACATATAAACGGAAACATTAAAAAAAAGGACACTCCCAACTACACATAACATAAAAAGATTTGGTTAAGTGCTGAAACACACTTAATTGACAGAACCCACATACAATGCAAACGTTGCAGGAACAGAGAAAGTCGCAGGAAGAAAATGGGTTACCTTCCTCTCCGAAGACAAAGAAATCGAGTATGGCAACTAAAAAGAAATTGAGCCCCGAGTTCCCAGCATTTAAGAACTTAAGCAAGTTGAAATTCAAAAACATTGATACGTTGCCGATCTCTGCCCGGGATTATGGACTGATGCGATCCAACAATAAGTCTTCGACGCCATATCCGCGCGCCGATCAAGGCGTCGATGCCTCTTTGCTAAAGGCTCGACTCAATATGCGACGTGCTTTCAAAGATTCCGCTAAGCAAGAGAGCCCAGCGGCCAGCAATCCTGACTCTCATCACTCTCAGTCTTCCACCATGGGCCATGCAAGGGTATGTTTAATACAAAATGTACAGACTTCTAAGACATCAAATTAAAATTAACAAACTTTGGCAAGCCCTTTCAGCTATTGCTAAAATAAATTATTACTTAAAACAAATGTATTTTGGTTTTTATGTATTTATGTTTAAAAACTGTAGAACCATAATTCTGCAGTAATAAAACATTACTACACCCAGAGAAATATCATGGTAAATCCAAATATTTTCACTATGAACTAAATATTTTCGGTACCCCGAGGGATTTTGTGTTTAAATCAAAGTGTGTTACACTTTCATTTTTATTTTTAAATATGAAAACATTTAGTTTTATATTAGAAAAAATTATAATCTACAGTTTTCCTATTATTAACCAATTAAATGTGTTTATAATTACATAATCATGTTTTTAAGTATGTTTATATTTTGAAAAACAATGTTACATTCAAATATTTTTACTATGGGGTTTTCTCTGGGTGTATGTATTCAAATCAATTGAAAAACATTGAAGCTATAAATGGTTTCATATATATTACTGTTAGATTGTAAGGGTTTTAAAATGATGGGTTACAGTAGCGGTTGTCTATATATTTTTTCTATTTTCCATGAATTCAATGCTTCGTACCTATTGAATGATAATAATTTTTTTTTTTATTTGCTGCAAGGCGTCGGTCACCGTTTTTCGTCACCAGTCGCTGACCAAAGATAATTTAAAGGAGATGCTGTCCATCGGCACCCCACATCCCGCGAAGGGCGTGGCACTGAGTGCCAGGCTACTGACCAGGCGTTTAACTGACATAAATGATCTGCTGAAGATGCGAGAGGAAGCTGTCCCGCAAAAGGAGGCCACTCCGGTGAGGTCAAGAAAGAAGAAAGTATCGATGCCGATGGTTACCGAAAACCGTGACGAGATTATTCCCGTCGAAAGCCGGCCACACGGAGAGCTGGTCAGCAAACGCATAAGCAGTCGGTTGACCCAACTCGATTACGATGCCTCGGTTACTTCGCAGAGCGAGGAATCCCTCGTGCCGCAGCTGAGTTTTGCGGAGCGACGGAGGATATTCCACGAGGGCGAGTTCACCATCGCAAGATATGGCCGCAAAATGAGCGATGTGATGATGGCCTCGACACCGCAGCAGCACCAGGTCATCGACAATAGTTTGCAGTTTGCCAAGAAGGCCAACGACGAGATCGAGAAGTATATGATTTCGCAGGGCATGGTTAAGGCATGATCAGATTACCATGACCCGCCAATTCAGCCGTCCACCTGAATTCTAAGCATGAAAAATCCGCCAACACTCGTCCTCACAAGGAATTCTTGTAGACTGGCTAGCAAGTTGGCCGAAGGATGCGAAACTAGACTAGTTGGAGCACCAAGATTTCGATGTGGTGTCGCAATTAATGGATTTATTTTCGACATTCTATTGTACAAAATTTTGGTCAACTTTATGTTTAACCACTTGACTCAATATACAGCATTTAAATTAAATTTGATTTTGATTTCTTTCTTTTTAGAGTGTGTTGAAATGTTATTAAGGAAAAGAATCCTGCAACTTATAATACATTTCGAATATAAAGTAAGTTTCTTAAACACAAAATTGGTGTTCCCCCTTGAACTTCAGCAAGTAGAAACCCCTGTTGCTGGCATGCGAAATATTCAACAACATATGTCTGCATCTGTTATGAAAACAAGCGTGAGGGAAAAAGCACCCACCTCCCATAGGGTAAGTCAACACCGAAAACATTCACATAAAATGTCAAAAGTGCCATTGACATGGCACATTTGGATGCTGACTGCCCTTTTTCCTATAAAAATATAAACAACAAAAAAAAAAACGGAAGTGGAGTAGGGTAAAATAAAAAAGGACAAGTATAGAAACTCTGTATTCCTAGTAATTAAAAACGTATAGATCAATGATAAACTTTTAACAGAAGAGATTTAAGCTTTTAAAACTTATCTTGTACAATTGCGCATCACAATTTGAACCACAAAATGTAAATCAATATATATCTCAACCATAAGGGCACAAAAACCAAACCAGAAACAAAAACAAAATTTACAATGCAGCTAAATAAAAACATGTACGTGCTGATTCAAGAGTTTCTGCGCTGTACAAACATACATTTGTTTCATGCTTTTCTGTTCGGGCAATGCTTTAATGCTTTGGCCAATGGCGAATGTAGAGAGGGTGAATGATTATTAAATTTCAATAATGAAAACATTTTTGTGTAGTAGGACTAAAATTTTAATTCAAATTATAATGGGTAACAAGAGCAATATTTAAAAAATTAAAATTCTTTTGTACCATTTACCAACAGTGGCATAAACAGAATTATTAATAGTAATTAAATAGCACCTGTTTTACAGATATAAGCACATAAACTATGCATTTCCGGAACGGAAATTTTGCTTTAAAAATGGTTTGAAATATAAGCCAGCTAATTTAACTAAATTACACGATTAAAAATAATAGTATAATTGCTTTAAACCTATTAATGATCTCTTATTAAATCCTTATGTTTGTTTTTAAGCTTGTGCAATAAACTCCAAACTCTGTAAATTGCCAAATTAAAATTCAATAAAATGACTTCTGCTAGGATAAACACCCTCAAATAGCCCTTAAACCTTAAGTTGGGACACTCGACCAAGTCAACTTTGACATCTTGTCTACATTTAGGCAGTCAACTCAAGCGTATAACAAACAATTCAAGGCAATCCAACTTGCCGACAATCAACAAGAGCATTACCACGCATTGGCCTAGGTTAGGATGCGATCCAGCTAAGCTAAGCTCTCGAAATAAAAACTATTACAAACAATTGAGGGGCAAGCTTACCCGACCGACAGCTGATGGTGGCGCCACTGGACGCATCTGCTCGCTCCTTGCCATTGGAAATTCGGGGGCCATTTCTCAGTTCCGTCAACGAGAGCTCAATGGAATCCGCATGAGCTATCAAATTGTTTTTGGTCTGCCAAAGGACAAGGAAAAGTTAGAGTTCAATTGAGTGGGAATGGAAACCGAAGTGTGTGGGCAAACCTTTTCAATTTCGTTCATCATGAGGGGCGTGACCTTCGGCATCTGAGCGTTTTTGCCAATGGCGCTGACAATTACCTGTAAATCGTCGTGCCGCTCCTGTAATAAACAAGGAATATATTTAAAAAACATGTAAGTAAATAAATTAAAATAAAATAAAATACAAAAAGATTTAACATTTTCTTGTCATTGCTCACTACAATTGTTATTTGTAATATTCATATTATTATTTTATAAACATAATGTCTTTAAACCCTTTTGCCACTTGTAATTCTTAAGATATCAAAATACTCTTATTAAATATTTCTTGGTTTGATACGAGAAACATGTATTAAAAATATTCAGCTAGTGTAAAATGTTAAGGAAAACTATATACATATTTCCTTAAAGTATGGAGTACGAATACATTTATGGAAAAAAGCATGTTCACGTTATTCAATAAAATTTGTATAAAGTTAATCAATGAATTTTCCCATTACTGAATCTCGACTGAAATTGGAATTCACTTAAAGTATTAAACGGAAACATACGAAAGTAGATATGTATAAAATGCATTCGATACTCTTGAGTTGCGGAAGGTGAACAATAAATGGCAGGTTTAAAGCGGAAACGGAAGCCGAACAGGCACATACACGAGTGAACAAAATGGCCACCGCTTGGGACAGGAGCAGCCAACGGCGATTGGAATTCAATTTCAACTACAATCATGCAGGTACCCTCTCTCCGGGAATGAAACAAATGAAGGTGCACGGCAGGAGTGGGCGTGGGTATATGGGCGTGGACGTGGCTGGGGGTAAAATACCCTACCACCTTGGCGTTGGCGGCGTTTGTCAACCAACAAAATTGCATTTATGGGTCGTCAACGCAGCGCGATGCAAACTGTTGCAGTTGCAGCTGACGGTCCGGTCCGGTTTTTGCTGCCGAATTTTTCGTTCGCGCCAAACTGAGTTTTCCGCAAATTTACAATCAATCACCGCGTCAACAAAGAAATGCACACACATCAAAGTATGAAAAGATTTTAAAGCTCTGCAACCGCTGTGCAAACGAGACGGTACGCGACTGAAGTGGCGCAAACAAAAAATATAGAAAAATGAAAACATTGGCCCTCATTTCGCCGGCAAAGAGCAGAATTTACATGTTGGCCCCTCTTCGAAATTAGTTTATAACATTTTCCTTTTTCCCCCCAAAATGATGCTCTCTTTTTGTCTCTGCCCCTCTCAGGCAGCTCAAAATGTTTTCGATTTTATTTTTTTTCTGCTTTTTAAGAATCGCTGGCGTTTGTCGCCATGCTCGCTGGTGCCATAAAACCAAACAAAAAAAAACGGAATAAATAAAATAAAAAAATAAACAACAAATGATTGCAGTGATTAATGACTCTGTCGTCTAGGGATGGAACTTGTTGAAAATGCTAGATTTATCATATGCTGCTCAGGCGCGAGCACAAAAAGTGCAGTTTTTTACTAGTTGTGTTGTAAATGTGTCAGCTTTCCAAATAAAATAATTTTTACAAAATTTTCTCCACTTTTAGTCTTTAAAACATGGTGAAAAAATTTCCAGCAATTATAAATATTTATTTATTTACAACTTTTGTAATAACTTTTCGTTTTACATTAAAAATCATAATTAACTATATATTAAAATTTGAAAGGGAAATCTAAATTTAAACTAAATAAAAGAAAACATTTGATTCCTATTCGAAATGACACATTTCATTAAAACTGTTCATGTTTCAATTCATCATAAAATTGTGAAGAACTATGTTTATAATTTAATAGAACATGACAACCATCCTCTGTTCCAACCCTTCAAACAGACAGCATCATCAAAAAAGTGCAACAAAAAATCTCTTAAGATCGCTCTTACTCCTACGATCTCTTTTGACCCACTAAACACTACGATCAGTCTTCGCCACCCAACTGCACACAGATGTGTAACTGTGTCAGCTGTGTTTATTTTTGGGTCTTCTAATGGACCCATTTAGCCATTGTGGCCACTGCCTATACATACATACATATATGCATCAAAATTCTCAAGAGGGCAATTAACTTGCGGCAAATAATACAAACGAATATCGTCGATAGATGTGACGTCTTTTAGAAATGTATCCAAGATAATGAGTAATTGCAGCGATTAAATAAAAATGGTTTAATTGTAGTTTCGCACAGGTTATTTAGTTTTAATTTACGACAAAGTCTAGATCTTGGCAACGTGCATGTGGCATTTTGCCAGATTTTGATGGCACTTACATTAATATCCTCCATGCGCTTCTCAAGATCACTGCTCGACTTCAGATCGACGTTCTTTTCTATCAGAACATTAATGCGACGCAGGCCCTTGGTGACGAGTTCCTCGATATTCACGCTGTCCAAGGGAGGAGCTGGTGCCCCACTTCCCGATGTCTTGGATCTACGGTGAATAATCTCATTGATAAATGTTGAGAAATACATTGAGTTTAGTCGTATACCTGGCTTGCTGTACTTCCCGAAACTGTTCTCGCAATATAATCTGAGTGCGCATCACCAGACGAGATATACTACCCTGCTTTCCATGGGTTTCCAGTACCAAAGAGTCTCCCTGGGATATTAAAGTAGCTGCATCTGGAGCTATTAGCAGCCGGAGATCCTCCCTGAAATAATTTTGCAACATTTCTGTAGAAACAATGTCTAACTATTTAAAATATGTATATTTAAAACAGTGACCTTTTTCTCATCTTCGTGATAATTTGCCAGTGTGAAATTTAAGATTTATTTGATATTAAAAGCTCACTAAAGGTTACAATTTACAACCCAGATGGAGGATGCGTTTTTAGAGTGACCATAGGTATAATTTTGGTTATTATGAAGTATGACCTTACCATTACCATTTCCAACAGTTCCTTTGAAATAGTTTTTTTTTAAATCTGCCAAAATAAAATTGGAAAACGTCTTTGTGTGAAAACTATATCTTATCTATACATTACTGACTCAACGGGTGACCTTTTTCTCAACTTCATGCTAATTTGCGAATGTTATATTTAACGATTTTTTTAATATTAAAAGCTCACCAAAATGGAGAACGCGTTTTCAGAGTGTATTTTTTTATGAACCAGTATGACCTTATTTGAGTATTTCATAACCAGTCCTGACAACTCGTTCTTAAATTAGAAATTAAAAAATATCTTACGCTTCGCTTTCGTGACACTGTTCGATCTTGGCTTTCGTCAGTTTCAATTTGTAGATCATCTGCTTGGCCTGCTTATCGAACTCCCGGACACGATCATCCAGATTCTGTGGTTGCTGTTCACTTAGCGGACTCTTGAGCGTTACGTTTGAATCATCCGAAGGAGAAGGCATTGAGTCGAGGACTTTGCTCAAGAAGGGGTTTGGCTTTTTTGTCGAGGGCGTCTCAATGCGACTCTGTGGGGATACATCAAAAAGTATGTTGCAAGTTAAAAGAAATTAACAAACACTGTTAGATAAAATAAATATTTTGCGGGGTATTCAACCAAATTACCGTATCACTATCGGAGTCAATGGTTGGTGTCATTTCCAGCGAGAAACGCGGTATATCCTCGTCGTCGGAAAATACGAGAGGCTCAGCATCGAAACCGGATTCTTTGTCGGGACTATAGAAACTATCGCGACCGGGTGATTCGGGTTCCAGGGCCTCCAATTCCGGCTGGAGTTGGCGCCATCGTTTCGGTTTGGGGACTTGAGTTGTTCGCGGACTATCCGGTGTTTTGGGTTCCTCTTCCTCGGAATCACGCAGGATATCCCGCTCATTGGCCACGCGTTTGCGTTTCTCATCGAAGGAGATTCGATGTTTCTCTACTCTCAAGAAGGGGGTGCTCGTATTTTCTGTTGAAGGACGCAGTATATCCTCGTCCTGTTCCGCCGAATCTTCATCATTATCCGAGACCTTGGGCAGTGGCGAATCGCTCAAGGAGTGCTTGCTCTTCGTCCGTCGCACTTCTTTGCCCTGGCTATCAACCCTAACCGAAGAATCGGAATCCTCCGAAAGATCTACGATCTGTACCGTCTCCACATATTCGGGTACAAATGGTTCCACACTCTCCAGGATATTGACGGTGTCCACGATTTCACCCTGCTGCGGCTCGAAGTCGATGTTTTGCACCGACATCTTGTCGTTTTGGATATTTTTCACCTTAATCTCCACAACTTGGGCGGGCGAACTGGGGGCCTTTCGTTTGCTTTTCGCCGGTTTGGGTGGTGGAGTTTTGGATAATTTGTCGGGATTAAGGGAAATCTGTGAGAACAGATTACTAGACTCGGCCAGACGGAATGTTTGGGGTGGCAGCAGATCCGGCAATACTTGGTCTCCGCCAACAGCCTCCGTGGAGTTATCCACACCTTTGGTGGGAGACTCCGAGGTACTGGTGTTGCTGGATGAGGGGGACTCCCCTGACTGGGGTGTCCTGGCACGACGTTGTCGCACCGTATCGCTGACAACAACTATTTCCGTGTCGTCATTCGGCGGTAAGCTCGTATTTCGCGCGGCAAGCGTTGTGGCTTCATTGAATCGCGTTTTCAACACATCCTGCACAATAAATGCATAGTTCGGTATAAATTACAAAACTCTATAACAAATGCATTTCTGCAAGCCCATGAAGCCTCTTCTTATATAGGTATTTTTACATTTAGGTACAAGTCTCCATTAAAAAAGCAGTGGCCATTTATTAGCGTTGGTTGGTGGTGAGCGGTGGCTTTGGTGGATTTATTTTTATTTTTTTTTTATTTATTTTTTTGTTTTTGGTGGTAGTGGTGGTGGTGAGCGGTTGATTGGAAGGATTACGTTTTTATGTTGTTTTTTTGGGATACATGGTTTGGACATTTGACGCAGCCACAACCAATCGAACGCCACAACAACAATTAGAAGGGGGAATCAAGTATAAAACTCTAAACATTAAAAATTGGAAGCGTGAAAATGACACCAAAGTTAGACCCCGTAGAGCTCTAGTGATACGGTGATTTCTCGATATTTTTTTTATATTTATAATTATGGTTTTTTTTTTTTTACTGGGGTGATATGGTAGATTTGATGGTTTGGCATTTACCAATATAGATAAATGTTGTTGGTTCTGGATTAGCTTTTGGTGGAAAGATTAATTAATGGTTTATGAAATTGGCAAAATAATAACAATAATGGGTTGAGTAAATTAAGTATGAGTAAAGGATTATAGAGTAGTAGCAGTTGGTAGTGCGAAGCTAAATTAAAACATTCATGAGCATAAAATTATTTAAACATTTAAAAGTTAGACCAGCTGATATTAAAATACAAGACATTTTACTTTATTTTTATAATTTAAGGTTTATAGTTTTCTTATTTGTATAAGTATTTTATATTGAGAAAATACTGATAAAATTTTAATAAAATAGCAACTTCTTGTGAGTTTAAAATTTAGTAGTTGTTATAATTTTAGTCCTATTTTTTCAAGCAATTTCCAATATATTTTCACCTTTTCTCTATTTATAGAAATCTTACACCCATTTCATTTGCTCTTGCTGTCGATTACGATTTAAAATTTAAATCATGTCGCATTAAATCAAACTGTGCATTCCGATAAATCAAATGATGTCGAACCAATGATGTGAAACAGAAGGAGTAAAAGCAGAAGGAATCTGCAAACCCAATTCCATTTGCTTTGAGCCGGGCCAAAAGGTGTCCGAGAAGAATCACCCTCAACGGGTATAGAAATGGGAATGGGAAGTGTGAGGCGGGTCGGATGTAAAGCGAAATGTGAGGTAAGCAAATAAAGACACAAAACGAATGAAAAGCAAAAACTGGAACCCGATAGCAACCACAGAAGCAGTGAAAATGGAGTGAACAGAGCATGTATTATGTACAGGTGGAAAGGATGTTGGAAAGCGGAAGGAGAAGCTTGGCGTAATTAAGAGGATTTGTTTGCTTGCTCCAACTCACCACGACAATTGCAATTACTTGCTGCTGCAATTTCTCAATTTCCGGATTCGAGGGCACATTTATCTCCTTCAGGTCATGCTCCATTGCCCTGCAATAGTATTGTGATTACTACGTGAAGAAATAGTTTACGATTTACGAGCAACTTGAACATAATAAGGCTTAATGGTTTTGCTTATATGTTTTTTAAACTGCAATTTATATCTGGTTCGCACGTAATAATAAAAGGAACCATTTTATATATAAGAACATGATACAAAAATAATTAGACTGAAGGATGCCACAGAAATCATTAGTGTTTTAAAAACACTTTAGAAGGTGACACTAAAAAATGAAAATAAATCCGCCAGATTTACAGATTGTTCCATACTCTAACACACCTTTTAAACTAGTTTTAAACTCTAGTGATTTCTGTGACACCCACAATAAGTCATTTTAAAAAGATTGTGTTCTTATAAGTTCAGAACACAACTCTTGAGATGATAAGTAATGGGATAATATTTTGGAAAACTAACTGCAGTATTTTCTTAATGTCAGTTTGTTTAAATCCCTTAACACGAAACGTACTTGAGAGTTTCCAGGGAAATGTTGTCTAGATTTTGCAGGGTGGCCTTCATTTCGGTGAGACGCTTGATGATGTCAGCACTGGTCAGTTTGTGGTAAGTGGCTTTTAAGCCATCGATTCTCTGCCGCGTCTCGACCATGCAACTTTGGTCACAGGACTTGCTGTACTCGTTGTACTGGTCCTCGCACCGTCGCAGCACATCCTCGAACTCCAGGAGTATGGAGTTCCTATCGTGCACCTCCTGTGGCGACTCAAAGCGTCGAATCAGGGTATCCGCCGAGTCGAAACACTCCTCCAACTGCCTCGCTAATGTGAGCAGACTCTCCAGGAACGCCTTCGACTGGGTCACATTCTCTCCGAGGGCATTGTACAGGTGCTTCAACGCATCAATCCGCTGGCTCAGCTGCTTTGGCGATTTTGTGTACCTGTCCTCGCAAACCCTGCGACCGGTTTTGATAGTGCTCTCGATTTCCGCCTTTATCTCCGACAGTGTGCGATAAATTTGCTGTGGTTTGGGCGAAAAGAAGAGACTATTAAAGAGTATACAAAAATATTGGATTATGTCTTTCATGAGTTAAGAAACTTCACCATTTAATCAGACAGTAAACTATATTTAATGTTTAGTATAGAGTATATTTAAAATTACTATGAGAGCTTATACGAACCAGACACTTTTGATATTGGGCCTGAACAGTATTCGGTCCGGCAGATGCGACATCTAGAACCAGGGTGGATCGCTCCACATTCCGCAGGTCACCATAGGCCCGATTTAAGCGGGACTCGTAGGCGGGTTGTGGAGCGGTGCACTTGCTTAGCTTTGCCTGGCAAGCCTTGAACCTCAACTCCATCAGATTGAGCTGCTCTTGGAGGCGATTGGCTGCCCCACTTTTGCCATTTCTCGTGTGCTCATCTATCAGTTCGCTGATCTCCTTAAAGTTTTTCTCATTGGCCACAAACTCTCGAGCCAAGCGCTATGATAGAGGAACAAATATTTTAGATATTAACGCAATAATTAAGGGCACTCGGTAAACTAGAATTTTACAAAAACTGTTTAATTTTTAAATATTTCAAAAGTTAGAACTTTGAGAATATTTTGTTGATTAGTATTATATTTTTGATGGTATTTTAAATTTCACAACCGGTTTTGAAGATAACGTATGGTTTATTGGTCTCATAGTGATAATTCTTTAAGACATTTTTTCTCGAATCTATATTTTAATGCATGACGTTATAAGAAAACAAAAACTATTCATCAGAATTGTGTCAAAAGCCCGTACCTCAACAATTTGTGTGCACTGTTTACTTCTCATATTTTATGTCCGAGGAAGAAAAAATTTACTTTTGGTTTTTAAACTTAAAAACCCGTAATTTTTTTTAGCATTGTCAAGGGCAATCTTTTAAAATAAAAATAATAGTTTTTACATTTTCAAAAATGTTTTTTCGCATTTAATTAGTTATAAACCTACTTTCGAATTTGAAATGTGGATGATTTTCATTATAGTTTTACCTGGAAATCCTCCGGCAGATCCTCGATGGTCACATCGTTTTCCAAATGCTCGCTGAGTGTCTCGTCCACCCGGGTGAGCCACGCCTCGAATTGCACGATGCACTTCTCGGACTGCTCCGCCTCGCTGACCTTTTGCTCCAGGAGCTCGGTGCGCTTCTTGGCCTGCTGCTGGAGCTGCGTCCACCGCTGGGCGATGTCATCGATGTCCCGGCGCATGGAGTCGGCCATGAATTCGTTGTCAATTAGCTCGTTGCCAATTTCCTGAATCTTCTCCAGCCATTCCTCAGAGTGCGAGCGCAGAACGTTCTCCAGATCCTGAAGAAAAAAACCAGCATTAATGGGATTAAACATGCAATATAGTGAAGATGTGTGCACACGACTCACATCAAGTTCCTCCATGATCTCCTCGGCGTCTGCTGCATTCTCTGGCGTGTTGCGTATCTTGTTCTCCAACTTGTCCAGGTAACCCGTCTCGCTAACCATGAACTTCTTGAACTCCCCCAGCTGCGTTGATATATGCTCGAGCAGAGCTGTCTTCGCATAAACCAGCTCGGTGACCTCCGTCCATCTGGCATTGATGCGTGTGAATTGCTTGGCCAGCGATCCATACCGCGATTCCCTATCCTTATCATGAAGTTCATCCATTTGGAGCAGCAACTCGCCGCCCAGTTCGTTGAGCTCCCTAAACTGTGTGGTTTCCTTTTCGCAGGTTTCCTTTAGAGTCTGGAAGCGACACTTGCTCTGGAACAGCTCGTTGGAGTTACCTATATCGTCAATTCCCGATTTGGGTGTATTGCTCTCCAAATCGGTAAGCCACTGATCAGTTTTCTGGAGTCTCTGCTGGATGAGATCTATTTGGGATTGGAGGGCCGTCTGCTGTTGCTTCTTCTCCCGATGAACCTGCTCCACTTGATCGTATAGAGTGTTCAGTGCCCTAATCTGCGATTGTAGGGACTCCTTTTGGGCAGGCTCCGCCTCTTTTATCAGGATTTCACTGAAATTTCGTGCACTTATCACATCGATCTCTAGCTTCCGAAGATCTTGACTACTGGCACTTTCAGCTCCATTCAACTTTGTATCCGCTGCGCTCCGCAAAACAGCTATAATGGCATTGTATTCCGCTGCAAAGTGGTTTAGATTTTCAATAGCTGTGGTTTGCTTGATCACACGCTCATTTAGCTGCTCTGGAAGTCTGTTCCAAGTGGTTTGTAGCTCTTCGCCCATCAGGTGTTTTGGTATATTATCATAGGTTGGTCGGAGGGACTCCAGTTCATCTACCAATTGGTTGAGCAAATACTGCTGTTTTTGCATGACTTCCAGATTGGAGACGCGCACCTTTTGGTTGGACACTTTGGCCACGAAATCTTGAAGTTGTTTTAGTTGCCTGGAAAGACTCTCGCCTCCTCTTTGCTGAATGAGCGCCTGCAAGGCCTGCTTCATGTCGTGCCAACTGTCGTAGAATAGGCCGAAATCTTGCTTCCATTCCAGCAACTGATCATCCAATTCTTCGGTGGTTGTTTTGGCCTCCGAAATCTCAGATGCCAGTGATTCCATGTGGCTCAAGCGTTGCTCTAGTTCCTTGCCACTGGCTGAACCAGCGTGTTGCTTATACCAATCTCTGGAATCAGCCAGGACTAATTTGAATCCTGTCAGGCTGTTGTAATACTTTTCCTTGGCCAACAGCGTTTGGCTTTCGCTTTGTTGGCTTGCTAGTTTCTGAGCCAAAACCGCATATCTTTGCTCCAGCTGCTTGATGTGCGTTTCCTCGAGGAGAAGGTTCCTCGAAGGATCCTCCAGCTCACAGACTTCATAGAGTTTCTTGAGTTCCGGTAAACTACCACTACGTCGGGTATTTTCCGCCTGAAGTTCCCTGAGTAAATCACACTGTTGCCGCAGACTTTGCCTTTGTAACTGCTGCAACTTTTGCTCAACTTCTTGGACGTAGGCAAAGTGTTCTATAATGTGATTTTCCAGGGCATAAAAATTGTCAGCATTTCTCAGTTTTCGCTTTTTGCTGGCCAAATCGTGTTCCTCTTCATCTTCGGGAGCCTCCTCCTCCTCACCAAAACGAATGATCATCTGGTAATCCACCCAGCCTTCAGGTCGCACCACGCGACTATCATCGTAACTGGCACGATCTCGTCCGAAATTAAAGCCCTTGGTTTCGATGCGTACCGTTTGCACTTCAACGATCTGTTTCAATGCATCCAGGCGATCTTCGTAGCTCTCCAGCTGGATCAGAACCCGTTCGCCCTTATCATCGCCATCCTGCAATGTGGCAGCCACCATTTGTCGCAGATCTATCAGATATCTCTGTAGCTCGAGCAGATCCTTGGCACAGTAGTTTAGCTCGTTAATACGCTGGGTAATACCACCCACGTCTGTCACATCTCTGCTCTCCATCAGCTTGAGATCTTGCTCGCGGGCATCCAACCACCTGGAGATACACTTATACTGCTGCAGTTTCTCGGTTCGCAGATCGCTCCACTTCACAACATGCGACCATCTTTCTCCCAGAGCACTCAAACGATCTTCTAGATCATTGAAGTTGCCAGAGGTGTCGTTTACAATAACCACCATACTACTCAAACTATCCACCAGTTCTTGCTGTTCACTTAAGTCGGCCTTGAGTTTGCGAGCCTCAAGCAGTTGCTTTTCAGCTTCTCCTAGTGTTGGTCCTATATCGCTCATGTGGGAAATGCGATCCTCAACGCTGGTAAGAAACTGTCGAAGCTGTTCGAGTTTTTGCTTCTGAAACTCAGCCAAACGCATTAGGATCTTGGCTTGGACATCCAGAGCTCGCAGTCTCAAAGTCTCCCAACGTTCGTTGAGCAGCACCATTTGTTGCCTCACCTCGTTCTGATCCTCCTGACTTAAGCCAGCTCCTGCCTTTTGGGATTCGTTGATGAGGTTGCTACCCTCTTCCAGAGCCTCGCCCACGTACTCCTGATGTTCGGTTAGTTTAAGCATGAAGCTTTCGTTTTCGTGAAACTGCAGTTTGGCAGTCTGGAAGTCCTGGGGATCGGGCAGATCCTGTGAGAGCAGCTGCTCATCTTCCAGTAGGAGGGTGAGAACGGCCTCGAGAGCTGTCTGATAGCCACTGATCTCCACACTGGCATTGGTGGCTGTGCTCAAGGGGCGCATGGAGTGGCAGTGAGTTTTCAGTTCTGCCGAAGATCTTTGCTCCATGCTGCCAGCACTATCTGAAGTGTAAAGCCCCAAACTGGCACGATCACTGTCCAGTGGCACCTCATCCAAGTCGGTAATGCTGGTGCAGGGCACTCGCCCCGGATCCTGATCCTGTTCGTGTTCCTGTTCCTGATCCTGCTCCCTTGTCCTCATGGATTCCATGGCATGGTAAAGACACATCACATACATCTGTATCGATTTGTTGTCAGGCTTGTGGGTATGCACATCCTCGGCATCCAACAGTTTCTCAATTTTGAAATGTCGGTGTGCCAAATCGAAGGCCAAGTGTAGTCTTTGCAGTGCATGTTGCTGCAGAGCTGCCTGCAGATTCAGCTCCTCAACGTGCGCATCCAGGATCATGAGGAAGGCTCGTCCATCGGACCACGAATTGGAGAAATCACTGAGTTGCAGGCCATGCGGTTCCGTATATTGGCGGGCCCAAGCCAACAGGGATTTCTCCACCCCGTTGCTCGAATGACTCTTGACTAGATGCTGCCCATTGAACTCCAGCGCTATTAGCCAGATGAGGCCAAGGGTCAGCTTGGCATTGCCACCCACTATGTCATCACTGGAGATGTTCACCAACTTAACACCATGCTGCTGGATCACAGTGATCACCTTGTTCAGATTGTTGATATGGTGCACTCGCATGCGACCCTTTTCGGGTTTCTAATTTACGAAAAAATAATGAGACAATTGATTAAAGCATGAGGAAGGAATATAAACTTAAATTTTTTTTGATTTGTTAATGTGTTCATAGAGATGGTGAGAGTATATGTATTATCTAATCGGTTTATTCCAATAATTGTTAATTTATAAGGTTTTCCAGGGATTTACTTATTTGAAAATGAATATTTTAGTTTTAGTTTTAGAATTTAAATCTTAACAAGTAAAGCTTAGATGCATAACGTGATATCCTGAATTTCTTTTAAAGTATGTGTTTAAGTATATAATTAAATACTTTTAAAGTAAAGCTTAGAATACTTAAATTAAAATTCTAAAATACCAATTATTTTATTAAGTAGTAGGTAAATAACTGGATTTAAAGTCCATGTAACCGCAAAAATCACAACAAACTAAAAAAAAAGCAAAAACATTTGGTATTTTTGATACACTTGTGTATTAGTTGCAGTGAGCCCATCCTAGCTATTTCAATCTAGTTCTTTAACATTTAGGTTTAACATATAGAAAGTTATAATTTCAGATGGTCAAATTTTCGTTATACTAATCCAATAAACATTAATATTATATATAAGGGCATTTCTCAGGTTAACTTCACAACTCTTAACTGTAATAAATCTCTTGAACACATTTTAATCATTAATCATAAGTGATCTATACTGACCAGTTGTGTTTGTGTTAGAGTGCTGAGCAGGGCCAACAATCGATGTCCGTCCCGCAGGTCCAAAAACAAATCCTTCACTGGTGTGCACTGGGTATCGATGAGATGTGAATTGATCCATTTCGTGAATGTTTTCTTCTGTATGTGCTGTCGTTCATCTAGAGCAGACAAAAAAATAAAGCAAAAAAAAACGGAGAAATGCTTAGATCCATTAGAGCCAAAATAGTTGCCAACTTTCTTTAGTTAACCTCGAGCCAAGTCGGCCGGCTTTAGTGCAAGATTGTAGGCCATCGCCAAGACCCAACCCAAAGTGTCTTTGGAACGCCAGTTTGGAATTCAGACTCGAGTCTTGTCGGTCGCAAGGGCCCAACCCAAAACGCAGCTCTGTGCAGTCCAACTTTGCTAATGAACTGCAACCAAACGTGCCAAATCACTCGCTCGAAATCAATTAGCGGAGACGTCGCTTGCAATTTTCCGACTCGATCGCGGAGAGCCGAGAGTCAGTCAGCATTTAAGTTCGGACTACACATAGAGGAATATCCATCATAAATCGATTTCAATTCGACCATTTTTCAAATTAATTTCATAGAAAATATTATGATTTTACTATGGCTAAAAAATATTCTAACACTCTGTTTTGTCAAGGACATACGCTCAAATACCATTGTCAAATAGCTAAAATTCCAAATTGTCGTGTTCAAAGTAAAAAAAAACAGATAGGTTTTAACAACAAAAGTGAATAAATATGACAAACTTCATATGAAAAATCAAACAATGTAGAGAAGAGTTATATCATCAAAAAACTTTAGTTCTGATTGTGATCAAATTTTAAGACCACTTAAATGAAAATAAAATCGGTCTATTATTAATAAATTTTTTTCAGTGTGCAAGATTTGTATATACCACCTTCTTGTTTGCGTCATTTGCCTGTTTTGTGTGAAGCCGCAGCTCACTCTGGCCGAAAGCAGTTTGGATCGCTCTTTAGAAGAAGTCTCTGATTGATGGCCGTCTTGGGCAGACAATTATATAAATTGGCAGCGGCTTGCGTGTAATTACTGATCGATTTTTGTTCTTTTCGGTGGTAAGTAATTACGGCTATGTTGGACTTGATTTGACTTGCTTTTTCCAAGTTATATGCAAATTGACAGGTGAACTGGGCTTTGAAAATCTTGACAACTCACGGAATGCATGGAAAGCTCAACTATGTCACGCTGCGAACAACTTTCTGAGCCGATTACTGTAATTAACTTGTTCTAATCGGTTTGGACTAGGTGATGAGGCCAAACTCAAAGTGTGTGGCGAGTTAAGCTAATTAAAACTTATGTAAGCGGATAATCAGCGGGTTTCAAGTGCACAAAATGTTTGCTGCTATAAGTGATGCCAAAAATTTAAATTTATTTTGACAATATATCTCTTTACAGTCTATTTATTAAAGATAGAATTTAACTATTATATAAGTCGTTTAAATCTTATAATAAAGTAAAACTGACAGGTGACATGACATTGTAAAAATACAAGTAAAAGCTCCGTTTGCGATTTATAACTTTAAAATTTTGTTGATAAATTATAGCTTCCCGGAAATGATTTATATAATTCATAAGATAGACAAGCCTTGTTTATATTCAAGACCTAGAATTCGTAATTTGCCAACTGAAATAATTCATTACCAATTCAAAGAGAAGCACTGCCATCCAAACATGGGCATTCCATTTCGGAAGACATAACTCATCTCTTTCGGGGTGGCAAATAGGAATAGTAAGCCTCTGGCAAAGACGCAAGGAGGCACTCAAGACATCGCCGCATTCGCTCTCAATGCGCAATTTAATTGCCATATAAATGAAGGACAGCTAGTGCCTCCCCGGAGACTAATTGCCGAGCGGGACTAACGCAGCACACAATATTGATCGATGTGGCAAGTCACGATGCTGCTGCTGCTGCTGCTGCTGCTGCTGCCGCCGCCGATGGTTACGACAAACTGTTGCATGTGACCCACAAATGAGGCCAACTGTGAAATGGGCACCAAGGCAAAGGACCCAGCAAAATTGAGCCTACTAGAAAATGGCCCCTGACGATGCCACACGTACGATTGCCGCCAGTCATTCAACAGAGAAAGCGAATTCTCTGGGAATACTTGCGGAGCAGTTGTCCCCTCCCAGGCCAATTTCGACAGCCACCCGCTGATAATTAAATGAAATTTCATTAATTGAGCTTTAGACTCTTTGCATTCATTAACTACACACTCTCCCAAGTGTCGATGCTGTGCAAAACCAAATGGAACTGCTACAATTGAAAATGACTATGCTGGGATGGAAGAAGCGCACCACTAATGGGGGGCTTCAAATAAATTAAATATTTTACAACAAAACCATTAAAATCCAATTTTAAAACACAGTAGCCTTAAAAGCCTGGTTTTCAAGCTACAGAAATTGCTTCCAAAACAAAACAAAAAAGTACATTAAAATTGTGCACAAAAATCTTTTTACATGGAGTTGTTTTGTTTTGTGAGAAATTTTGTTAGTATTTTAAGTTTTACTTTAAGTTTCTACTTTGAAAAGTACAAATTTACACTAATTTGGTGTTTAATATTAAACATTTTAGCTTTACCCCTTCAATGTACGCCACTGGTCTGTGCAATTAAATAAATTTAGCTTTAGCATAGATAGCTGCAACATCATCAGCTTTGAACAGCAGCATCATCGTAGCCATCAACATTTTCCAACTCCGAACGGCAGCCACATTTTCAGTGTCAATTACTGCAATTTCGTTGGAGTCCCCCTCCCAAAACCCTCTCCAGTTGCAATTGGAAATGCAGTTTTAGCATTTCTTTTTGTTTACCAGGAAGTATACTTATGAATATGTGCTGATGACCATCTCCTCTCTGCCATAATCCCCCGACAAACAGTTGGCCCAATGCCTGCTATTAGGCAGCATCGTTTTGTGTGCTGTGTTTGTTTTGCCAAAGTTGTTTGCAAATTGTTTTTCCCGGAAAACTCTTTCATAGCTGGTTCACCTAAAGTCTTGTCTCCCGCTACTGTTGCTGTGGATTGTTTTTTTATTGACTGTTTGCACTTGGCAATGGGAACCAAACAAATTTAAAAATTCAAATTTTTTGGGAAAATAAAAAAGGAAACCGCTATTCGAATTGTGTTTCCTTGCGAAAAGTTTTTAAAAACCTTTGGTACAACTTTTTGAGGAGAATTACACAATTTTATAATACCAATTGAAAACTAAGTTGCATGATTTAAGCAAAACAATAAAAATCAGAAAGAAGCAGTAATACATCCAGTTAAATTTGTTGTCCTTATGCAAATCTCCTACAAAAATCAATATAAACATGTAAAAGATAAATTATTTCTTATATTTATGACCTTGGTATACAAAACAATCAAACGAAATTTGCAATTCACAATTTGGTCGATTTTTGTTTAACTTTTTTTCCGACCGATTATTTCAATGTTGTTAGGTTTCGAGGCAAATTTATTGCAAATTGAAAAACCAAGCAAAACAGAAATATTGTGTGCTGACTCGAATTCAATTCAATGGAATTGCGTTCAATGGATCAACTGGCTGAATGACGTACTGATGTCATTACAGTTTGTCGTTCTCTGTTCGACTGATACCCCATATTTGCCCCCACCTTTCGATTCACACCCGCAAACGCCATAAACTTGCTAGTCGTTGTTGTTGTTACGCTTACAAACATTTATTGCCTTCAATTATAAGGCAATAAATTGATATTTTATAGCTTTTTGTTTGCGAGCCTAGTCCGATATGTAAATCGAGAAGAACAAAGTGAAATTGTTCGATGTGTAAGCCGTTAAGCGAGAAATATCGATTTGTCTGCTCAGAAATTATTTTTCCGATTCCTGTCATGATATAAAGTTAGATTATGGCATTATTCTTTTGGCAGCTCCATTGTCTGTCCAAATGTTTTAATGCTTGTTGAAAGTTGCTACATGGAGTGTGAAAAGTTTGTTGAACATGCTCGTTGATTTATTGACAATCTGCTGAAAGCCGATTATTGGGCTTGAAATACCAAATTAAGCTTGCAAAATGGGGAGCGGTGCCTAAATTTGACGCAATTATCAGAAATTTTGTTATTGCGTTATATTCTGAGAATATGTTCAATTAAAATTTGTATTTAAGTGACGATTTGATAGATTTTACTGACAATTTATTTATGTAGATAATTAAAGAATAGAAATAATGAAATTTTTGGATCCTAACTAGTTTGTATTTTGTAGTATTTTTTTTTTTTTTGTCCCAATCTAGCTTGATTCTATATTTTCTGTTAATTTATTGTCAGTATTTTGATACAAGAAAATTTGTGACTCATTTTACAGCTTACGCAATGTATGGCTAATAAAAAAGTAAACTCCTAGTAAAATAGAATTCGATTTGATTTCTTAAAATTTAATTTACTATAAATGCACCCCTTGGGTTATGTAGCGTTCTTCCTGGTTCCAATCTAACTCATTGTAATCTTTTATGTCTAATTCTTTATGGCTTTCTGGTATTATTTTACCAAAGCGTGACCCGCATCGAATGAAATGAAAACAAAAATTATATATGTAAACAATCCAAGCCGAGAACGAGGGAGTGGGACTGCCCTCAACTTCTCTTGGTGTGTTTATTATTGGAAGCCCATTTGGCTTGTGCCGGCGAATACTCGATCCCTCATTTATTGTGGGTCAACAAACAGCACCAACACGCACCGGAATACCACCAACTATAGCGCCATTGAGCAAATATTTATTTGTTTTCCCTGCATGTGTGTCAAGCAACATGGTAGAGGTGAAGGAACTCACATATATGGCCACGAAATTGATAAGCTAACGCAATAGTTCCACCTCTTATCAGTCTAAAAACGAGAGGAACAGAACGCATATAGGCAAACATTACGTTACGCATTGGCTGGAAAATTAAGAGGCAAGCGTTCCGTTCGGCTGAACATCTAAATGAGTGGGATAGTACTTTGAATTGGAATTTAAATGTACTTTAGTACTGGGAATTGATTTTAAATTATATTTCAATGCTTGAAATTTTAAACGACTTGTGTGTATCATTACTTTATAAAATCACTGGCAGTGTGTTCTTAAAACCAGAATTTTTGGACTCACATAAAAATTAATTACAAAACAATATTCAAATATTTATGATTTTAATCAAAATAAGCAACCAAGAAAATCTGTTAATCAATCAATCAACAATCAACCGTGTTTATTTGGACTGTACGCAAAAATACAGACATAATACTTTATATAAACCTACAACTGAAATGAAAAAAATGGCAACTTGAAAAGAATTTGTTTCTTCTTCTGGTTCAGTGCGTTGTGTTTTATTGCCAAGCCCCGCACTCAACAAATTTTCTATAATCTCCCCATGGTTGGCTGAGCTTCTGTTGTCATGACTTTATAATGGAAATTTCAGCTTTCTTTTTGGGCTAGAGAGGGCGGCCCAAAAATTTAATTGCTCGGTTTTACAGGCCATATGGGAAATTTAAACTTTAGCCCCTGCTTTGCGACCGAAATTCCTTTCGCACACTGGCTTTTACAAACTTTCGTGCAATTTCCCGCTGTCTGTTCGTATCTTTCTATTGAGCTGAGTTCGATTACCGGCAACTTTTGTATGGCTTGGAACGTGACTTCTTACGACATTTCATTGCATGTGACATGCATTTTGATTGGAAATCGAACTTACGTACAATACAGTTTATTGCTTTTCCCCTAATTTTGGATTGCTGCAAAACATATGCACATATTTTTTTTATTTTAACAGCTCTTGCTTCATTTTTATGTGCGTAAATTGAGTTTTGCCCGAATTGGTGGGAAACAAAATTGTAAATTCGAGTGCAAAATGTTTTATTCATTGCGAATCTTATTCAGAAATAGTTTAGCAAATTGTGAAGAGTAGAAATGTTTTTTTATTTTAAGAATACTACGACGAATGGTTTAATTAACAATACATTTTGTTTGTTCACAAATACCTGTTACACATAACAACTCTATAACAAGTTTATCACATGGCGCTAATCTTTATATTTATTTATATATTTTACGCCTCGTCGACCGCCTGTTTATAGGTTCCTCAAACACTCTGATCAAATTAAGACATACTTTAAGGCAAGAAACTCAAAGTAAAATGCATCATTTGGGCAAACATTTGAGCCACCTTTGAGCCCGCATAAATTAGAATAAACCAAAGTGCATTTTCAATGGCCCAAAAAGTCTACATATAAATATGTTAATGGTAGAGAGGAATGTCTGGGGCAGGGGAAAAAGCCTGGGAAAACCTGTTTGCAACCAGAAAATGCTGCTGGCAGACACCAGCATGTCCGACACTTTAAGAGTGAGTTTTTTTTTTCCAAAAGCCTTTATCAATGTGGGAGACCAAACAACATGAAAAAATAACAAAACCTGGTCATG